GCCCAGGGCGGGGGCGGGGGCGCGGTTACGGTTCGGCAGCGCCCCCGAGCTGCCCCGTTTTGAGTGTTTCGTACCGGGTTTCACAGGTCGCTACACCTGCACGTTCAGCCTCTTTGAATCCGTTGGCTGATTTCTCATCAGCCTGTGAGATTTCCGCCACCCGAACACATCGGGATTGCTCCCCAGCCCCCGCAGAGGTGTTCCAGCACTTCTCCAGGTTTGGCCAAGAAGCTGGCGCGCCTTCTCGGGCGCTTGGTTTTCCTTCCAGGGTTCCCGCGTGGTGAGCAGGGTCAGCCGATGCTGTCGCTGCTTCAGCTGCTCTGCAGGAGGTGAACCACGCAGAGGCCAAGGGGGGGTTGCGCTGTTTCTGGAGGTCCTCTGGTCCAGCTGGTTGTTGCTTACAAAGAAAAGTAAGGTTAGAGTTAGGAAAACGTGCGTTTTAGTTGTGGATAATGTGTGTTTCAGCCCTCTTGAAAAATGTGGTCACGCTGCTGATGTTGGTTTTCTGTGGAACAGCCTTAATCCCATCCCCGATCTTTTTTTGCTGCCCTGATCATTTCCCCTAGTAACTCCTGTGGCACCTGGTGCTGCGTTGTCTGATTAGATGGGTCCCATCCCACTAATGATCTTTTAGCTCTCTTTGGATCCCTGGATACAAGTTTCTCTTAAGATTTCTCCCTGTTCACGAACAATTAGAAGTTATCCAGAGGAGATGTGCCAGTTTGGTCCCCAGTTCTTCATGCTTTCCCATCAGCATCCTGCCAGAGAGGCAGTTCTTGCTCGTTTCTCTGATGTAGTTCAAAGTGTACGTTGCTTCTCAAAGGCTTTTGTGACAAATAATTGTCTTCATCTGGGGGCGATTCACTGGTATGCTACAAGGCCCACTGCTTCCTTTCATTGCTGGTTTTAGTGCTTGATACCTGGGTTTTGCTTGTGTTCACTTTTTTCTTCTTACCTTCATTTTTCCAATGTTAGTGCACATATTATCACAGAGCTTCTCTGTTACTGTTACTTGGCTTGTGTACTTAACTTTTTTTTAATATATCAGCTCACCCCAGCCTAGCATTTTAGCCCCAATTTTCTTTTGGGTCTGTTCTAAGTAACTGATACCAATAGCGCCCAAAGAGCCACATAGTTCACCACACAACCAGCTCCTCGGTGGCCAGCCCAGTGGAACACGTTCATGTTGCATCATCTGTGCTACCATCTCCAAACCCAAGCACTAAATTTGCAGCAGCAGGTTTATGGAGAGCAATTCTGGGTTATCAATGTCAATGCTAAAGCGAGAAGCATGAGTCTCCTCTTGAGAGAGAGCTGGCAGCTGCTCAGGATGGTGCAGCTGAAGACCTTGACTTCAGACAACCCTGTATCAAGGCTTCGAGGTTTCCCTGCCAGCTCACTTGGTACTGGTGGAAGCACCCTGACCTGGCCTGGTCATGATTACCACCCCCCAGCAGGCTCTGAGGAGCTCCTCAAGCCCCGCACCCAGCATGTCAGTGCTCTTAGAACTGCTGAAGTTCTTTTTTCGTCAAGGCCAGTGATTGTCAGCGTTCTGCCGCTGCAGCTGGTGCGCCGTCAGTGTCTGCCTTCGACGCAGACGTGGTTCTCTTCTGCCAAATGCAGAGATTGCCATGGCACCTGATCTACAGTCCAGCGTGCTGCCCTCCACCCATGTGGCCAACGTAGAGTAAGGACTAAAACCCCAACAGGAGGTAGATGTGGATCAGTTTAACCTTGGTCTTAGATTTCATCCCAAATTCTGATTATTGCAAATCAAGATAAGTGATTGGGGCTTTGTATTCCTTCCAAAGTTACTCCTAACATTGATCTGGGCAGTCTTGTGCATTCATGTGAATCCTCACAGGTTAAACTACAGAAAATTAGCTCCTGACCTGCCTTTTCTATACCACTTACTGTTTTGTATATGTTCTACTGCACCTGATTCAACTCCTTTCGCAAACTTTTCAGTCCTATTCATCTTAATTTCAATGTCCTTAACCATTCATGTTGTTTTCTCTGAAATAGTCTTTTTTTTTCACATGAGGTGATCAGAACTGGAAATGATGCTGGCCTACTTAAGTTGTATAAATAAAGACATTTAAGATTTGCTTTCATTGAGCAACCTGGAGTGACGAACAAGATGTCTTGCGCAGCTGCAAAGGCGGTTCAGGAATGGGATTTTGCTGCTCCAAGTGGTTGTGCTGACGCCTGTCAGGCTGTGGCTGTCACAGCCAGGGCAGGACAAGTTGAGCTGGGCACCTGCCTTACTTCCTTGGGTCCGGTGGTGGAGATGGCGGCTGTCCTGCTTCCCCCTGCCCCCCTTAATACATTAGATCTGACGTTTTCTTAGTAAATAGTAGCTCAGTATTTGTGTCTCAAGTGGACACAAACAAAGGCGTCAAGTACAGCAGGTGCAAAAACTGCTATGAGGAGAATTTGAAGGCATAAGATCTGTAAAGCTAATGAGAATAATCTTTCTTAAATAAACAAGTGTAAACTAGTAAAATCTTCCAGTTTTGTCTTGAGATATTAACAAAAATTGGATCGTGGTTTTTCAGGCACTAACGCCATCAATAAGGCAAAATTATGAAAGGAAAAAGTGTGTTATATTATTTCCCTAGTGAACAAAACTGCAAAGAGAATTTGGAACAATAACGAGGTTGTAAATGACATTTTCCATCTTTCTCCCACCGGTGAGCCAACTCTGATTACCACTGTGTGCAGGCACTCTGTTGTGGATGTTAAAATTAACATTTTTAAAAACTCAACAATGATTGTCAAGAAAACCAGCCTGTAAAATTAGAAGCCACCCTAAAAAAGATTTTTAAAGGGTTTGAAGAAGCCAGCTTCTTAGGCCCTCGGTAACCAGCTGCGGTGCCAAGTAGAAGAGCTGGGTTGATTGACCTTTGTTTCTTGTTGTTCGGACTAGCAGAGGCAAGGATTTAAAAATAAGAATGGCACATTTTGACTTACACCATTTTAGCTGCACAAAGCATGTATCTGAATGTTTTGCTTGGTCGGGAATTTCTACCATCTTCATTAGGAATTGAATTTTCAGAGTCAAAGTGAATGTTGTTCTGATCCTATTGAGACTGATAACCTATAATTCAGTGAAGATATTTATTATTTAATGTGTTCCTGCGGATTTGTAATTTGGGGGATGAAACTGAAAGCCAGACTAAAGCCAAATGGCTACAGATGTCTATGTATGGGATATCTCATTGTTTTAATTGAGAGTTAGGCATCTCAAGACCCCTGAGAATATATGCTGAAAGAGCTGTTTGAAAGCAGCGTGATTTATTTTTCTGCTCAGGTGCAGAAGCTTAAAATAAAAAATTTGGGAACATTTTTGGGAAATTCTAAGGATTTTAGGCTATCTTGAATTAGGAAAAAGTGAATGAGTAGAGGCTCTGAAACCAAAAATAATAAAAGTGTGTATCACCCCTGTGCAACTTTTCCTTGAGGCCCCCAAATCTTTCCTTCTTTATTTTGTTAATTTTCCTCTATGCTATCACTTTGCTGCTTTAGTAAGAAAAGCAAAGTGATTTTCCATGAGAGAAGATGAAGCTCTGGTGGCACTTAGCCTTCTCATTATGATGATACCCTTTTGTGGACCCTGGAAAAACTGTGTGTCTGGATATTGAACAATGTCCTAGTAGGAAACACACTGACTAGTGCTTTTTGAGAAGAAATGGCTACCAATAGGTCAATTTTCATTAATATCATTTCTAAGAGCAAACTCAGTCAAATGCTTACTCAGTATCTGATTTTTTTTTTTTGGCTGCTATTTGTGTTGTATCTCTAGATGATTTTGTTTTGCTGGTTTGTTTTTTGCTGGATTTTGTTTTGTTTTCTCATCATAACTAGAAATGACTGTAATTTTTTTAAACTATAGAGATGGATAATAAATTTTTCCTAAAAGGGG